TCTGTTGCACAAAATTGTAAAGGGGGAGCCATTTGTTGTGACCGGTTGAGCCTGAGGAAAAAACATGAGATGAGGTAAGTGAAGAAGAAGCCTTCTGGGAGCCTAACTCTATTGCAGCTAACCAATGGATGGTCCATGGTCACCTGATCCAGCCCTTACTATAGGCTACATCAAAAGGGAAGTTTTAAGCCTAATTTTAAAAGTGAAGAACCTGTCTGTCTCCCAAACTGGGAACCGATTAAGGTCAAATTAGTTCAATTTAATTTTATTTATATAGCATCAAATCACAACAGTTGCCTCAATGTGGTTTATAGACCCTCTGATAATACAGAGAAAAACTTCTCAATCAGATGTCACACTCTGGTGACAGTGGGAAGGAAAAACTCCCGTTTAACAGGAATAAACCTCTGGCAGAACCAGGCTCAGGGAGGGGCGGCCATCTGCAACAACCGGCTGTAAGTGAGGAGAGGAAGACAGGATGAAGACATGCTGAGAGAGCCAGAGATTAATAATAAATAACGATTAAATTCAAGGAGACAGAAGAGGGACCTGATAGCTGAAAGTTCCACCTCAAATTCTCCTTTAAAGATTTGTATGTGAGGAGAAGAATTTTAACTTCTTTATTTAACAGGGAGCCAGTGAAGAGAGGCCGATGTAGAAAAATAGGATTTCTCTTTCTAGTCCCTGTCAGAATTCTCACTGCAGCCTTCTGATGTAACATTTAACTGCAAATGTGTCTGCAGAAGCAGACACTGACAACCATTAATGGGTTTAACGTGTTTATTGAACAGATAGTAAAGGGTAGGTGAGTGACTTAGAATGCTACAACCTTTATGGGAGTCTCTACTGAAGGAGACAGAGTGCATGCAGGTAAGTCTCTGTAAGTTATTAGAGGTGAGAGAAAATTCTTACTTGTAATTTGCTTGAACAGGGATTTAAGAGGGACTGCTGGCACACAGACACAATACCTTAGGAGTAGTGAGTGGGTTGGTGGAAAGTGGGGAGGCAGGTGAGATGAGGGTGAGTCCTTCTGTCTTCAAAGCTCAGATGATGTCTGTAGAACTCCTTGGTGAAGCATGGATCAGGAAACTTGAACAGAAGAAAGACAGCACTGACCGAGAGTGGACATAGGGAGGCAAAGCAGAGAGAGAAAGAAAGAGAGACCAGGAAGAAAACCCCACATCTGCCCAACCATAACATCTGGATCAAATGAAAACCTTTTCAGGGAGCTTCTGAGCGAGCAGATAATAATTATTTACAGGAGTCCAGTCATTGTAGGTAGTCCTATATATACCTGTTACAGCCCTAGCAGGACCTCCTCCTGAAGGTGCCTGTGTGGGCGTGTCCCACCACCTCTTCTGCCTGAGGTGCCACCTTTCCCTTTTGTGCAGCTGACTCTCGTCAGTAATCAAGGAGATTTAAGCCCAGGGAAAGGTGAGCTCTGGGCCAGAGTGCCATTAGTGTGGTTGCAGCTAGTGAGCAGTATGTTTGTGTGGTTACAGCTAGTGAGCTGAGTGTTTGGTGTATTTGCAGTTAGTGAGCTGCTCTTTCTTTTTGGCTTACCTTTTACTTTATTGACCAACGCCTGAGTTTTGTTTGTTTTCTTAAATGGTGATAGCGGCTTGTCCGTCTCTTTTAGTTGAGCTACTTTAATAAAACTCTTTAATTTAACCCTCATGCCTTCTTGTCTCCTTTTTATGACCCGGACACTTTTCGTTACTTCCCCCTCACCGCCTAGACCCCTCAGGGGAACGTAACAATACCTTTAATATGCACACTGAAGGATATATGAAAGAATAAGTGAATATATCAAAGATTCCTTGCAGTGTTATTGGAGCCCAAGGTAGTACCATCAAGGCTTACATGTCTATTAGGCACATCTGAAGGTTCAGTAATTGATTTGTATCTCCTGCCTTCATGAGAAACTGAGTTTTATCAACATAGCAATGAAAGTTTTTGCAGTTATTTCTACTAACATTGTCTAAGGGAAGCATGTGCTGTCAATAGTATTGATCCCAGCCCAGAACCCAGAAGAATTTTCCCCTAATGGTTAATTTTATTTGTAAAGAAATTCATGAAGTCGTTAGCAGTTAAGGTCAAAGGAATACTTGGGTCAGCAGAGCTCTGACTCTTTGCCTGGCTGCTCTGCTGAACAGAAACTGTTTTCCTCTATCAGATGTCTAATCGTTGAGGGCTTTTTAAAGAGTAGCAAAGTATTTTTTCCAGATCAGAAGAAGGTCTTCTAATTTAGTGAAATGCCATTTCCTCCCTAGTTTAAAAGTTGCCTGCTTTAAGACAGGTGTGACTTATACAAAGCTGTACGTTTCTCTGATTTGTTGAGTCATAGTTGGGCTGTTACATAGGTAACAAGATAATCTGTCTCTGAAGGAGTAAGATTCAGGTAGCTGCTCGCATCATGAGTCAGTACATGGTATTAATGAAGATAACAGTGCAAGGATCATGTCTTTAAACTTTGTTACAGCACTTTCAGAGAGACCTCCACTGTAATGAAATGTATTCCCATTATTGTAAATTTAAATTTAAAAAATGGTCAGACAAGACATGTTTTCAGGGAATACTGTTAAATACTCAGTTTCTATGATGTACCATATGTCAGGACAAGATTCAGAGTGTTTTTAAAATGACCAGTCAGTTCATTTACATTCTGAAAGAAGCTAATTGTGTTTAAATCACATACAGTGTGGAGGCTGTTGCTCTCAGCATCTACACTAATGTTAAAATCACTTTCAACGATGAGTTTAAGTAATGCTCAGTCAGTTGTTTTAGCTGTGTGTTTTTGTGGCTACCCTATTTAGTAATTAACCCCCAAAAACAATTAAATAATTTCAATATGTGTTAGGACAGCTTGAAAAACCACGTGCTCTTTGAGAGATTTACAGCGTCAAACACTCTTAGACTTTTTTTTTTTTAAACAGGCTGTTTCATCTCAATGTAACATTTGTTGATCCAGAAAGGAAGACCATTTATCAAACCCCAACATGTTACATTTTCCTGGGTTGTAATGTGAACATGTTGTAACGTTACATTACAGCTTTTTTTTATGTCGTCAGCAGGGTGGATACATGAAAAGAAATGCTGTTATTCTGTGCCTTATCTGCTCTATATTTTAGATTATAGTTCCGCTAATATTTCAACATAATCTACAATGTTTTTAATTGTTACGTTATTTCGTATGAGTATCCTTTTGAAGAAAGTGTTTCGTTTAGTCGTTCAGGTTGTTCCTGCAGGTGGAAGGGGGCAGAGTTTCACCATTAAATCTCGTTTGGCTGTAGGAAACACCTCCCTCCGCTTTTCGGATGGGGCGGATAGAGTTGCACCCGGGACACCCGTCAACTTTTCTGAAACATTCCGATAAGTGTCCGACGTCCTACCATGCCTGGACTGTAACTCACTTTGGATCGCCGGTCTGTTTTCTTGTGCTTCTGAGTCATGGCTCCATTTGGAAAAAACTTCCTTAAAGCCCGAATGAAAAACAGGTAACTTGATCAGATGAGTATGAGCTTTCTTTAAACCTGTTGAGTGTGTTTTCCCCCAACTTCGAGCATTAGAAAAAAGACGTTACAATGAAATGCGTGAGGGAGACGATTTACGCTCAACTCGGCGCGCATCGAACTACGAATGAGCAGCACAAAATAAAACGCAGTGAAGTTGTTAATTTAGTTCTGCATATCATCTTTTTGACTATTATTATTGTTTTAAAAAATGATGTCTCCCCGGTCCAGTTAGAAAAACTGACAAACCTCCATACTGAATTCCAAGGAAATAATATACACTTCCGTGGAATATGAGATTTTGAGCGTCCTTTTTTTCATCAAGGTTATTACTATCTTAAACCAATTCATTCTTAATTTCCTTAATACTATTTGGGGAGTAATATATATTAATTTTACTAATTAAAAGCCAGTTTTGGCGAACCTGTCCGTGTGTGCACATGTTAAGATTTTTCATGTTACATTTTTAATGTAACTATACATGGACGATTGTATCAGTGTGCCAATGAGTGATGTGCCTTTTAGTGGTGGTCTTTGTTTGTTTACAACACTGCAGGCCTACTGTACATTAGCTTGTAAACGTTTGGACTTTCTTCTGCTATTATAAAAAACGCACACACATATGTACACATACAAAGTAGTAGAGATCATGTCATCTGTATTACCATAATTTGCTTTTTGCAATTTCCCTAAGAGCGTAGCTTGGCCTTTTGATGTGCTTCTCTCTGCAGCTGGGGTCCAGCTACAGTTCTGTAAAGGCAAGGAGGAAAGTAGAGTTACTGATCCACAAGCTGTCGTCTGTTATTGGTGTAGACATTCTGCTTCTTTTGTTGACTACAGACTTTTGTTGTGCAGAGCTGGTAAACAGAGTTCTCTTTCTGAGTATCTAGGTCATGATTGAATCCCTTGCTGCCAAGATCAAGATAAGGAAAGTTAAAGGGTTTTAATTAGCTTTACTCATTAAGGGTCTCAATTAACACCAAACACAGCAACAACGCTGAGAGGTATGGTAGTGTACAGTGCTAAATTACAACACTTTGACAGAGGCACCATCAGCAGAATTGATGCATTTTCACATCACACAGAGCTGAGATGAATTATCTTTGATAACTTCAAACAGTCTGACTGAAGTTGTCTCCAGTGGCTGTCTTATTTTTTTTTTCTTGCATAGTAATTATCATCGAGGCACCTATAATTATCTCAAGTGTTTAGATCTTTATACATGTCAAACGCTTCACTTCGGAGACACCTGAGGCCGGCTCCTACTCGAGGTGAAACTTCGAGCTGGATGTTGACAACATGTGCAGTCGGAGCAAGCCGAAGCATCAAAATATTCACAAAATAAGAAAACGTTAATGTTGATTTGGTAAATGTAAAAAATATTGGAATATTCCATACTAAAATCAGGGAGTCTGATCCTTCAAACAACAGGAAATACAAGCCTCAGAATTATGTGACCAAAGCAATGTAGTGACCACTTGCACTAAGCCACCACTATAGCATTGTTAATTAGTTTTTAACATTGCTAGATTAATACAAATTTGCAGGCTGCTGAAAGCAATAAAAAAAAAGACAGTTTGTGTTTAAAAAGGACAGGGGAAGTCATTTCTTTTAATGAGAAAGGGTTGTTATGGTGATTTAGATACTTCCTGTGGGCAAAAGATAATAGGGGTGGGCGATTTCACATAGGAAAGGAACAAACAGGGTGTGTTGTGTCTCTGCTCACAGATGCTTATCAGGGAAGGAGTCTTCCCAGAGATCAACATATCCAGATAGAAAAGTCACATTATTTCCTCAGCAATCCCTCATTCTCATCCTCAGATAAGAACAAGAGGAAACGTCTCCTGTCCAGCATCCAATAGTTTCTCTTCTGCATTCTCTGTGTTAAAGCCAAGCCAGACAGACACTTTGTAGATACTTTAGACTAGTATGATTTATTTGTTTTGGCTTGGATTTCTATATCTTACCTTTTTTAGTAAACCCCTATTGTTTTATATACACCAGTCAAACCTATAATTTGTTAGATAAACTACAAGTGTTGGTCTCGAAGAAAGAGAAACTTTGATTAGTGTAGGAAATGCAAATGCAAGCTTCTTATTGTCCCCTTTCACTTGTCTGATATTATTGACATTTATGTTTTTGAAGGAAAAAAAAGTGCAGAGGTCATGAGTCTGCAGTGCATTGTGTCATATCCTGCAGCGCACATTCAGTTTCCTTTTAAAGGAAATACAGCTGAAAAATGTCTTCACTTCATCTCTAGTTGATCCAGTCAGCCACAACTTTTTATCAGAACTTGTTCTTCCAGTCAGCATTATCATAGTCATAAAATCAGGATGAGTAAGTAAGAAATGTTGGATTGCACATAGGCCTTTTTTTCTGGTTTCAACTTGAGGTTAGCATTTGTGATTTGAGGATTTATGTTTACTTATTTGATTGTACTTAGCTTGGCTTAACTGAACAGATCAAGATGCCAGTAAAATTCATGACTTTTTCATCAACCTCGTGTTAAGTGCTAATTATGAGGTATTACAGCTATGAAAACCACAAACAAAATGAAGGCGTTAGCATAAATCACACAGATTTTAATTTTAAATTGGTTGATGCTGCATAGAAGGTGAATTAATCTATCTGGGGTAAGTTTGATCGTTTCACTCAGGACTGTTTTGAGCTGTAAAAGCAAACCTGTGATCTTATCAGCAGCAAATATAATCAAATCCAAATATACTCACGATTCCATAGTGAGACGTGTTGACAGCAGAGGCTAAAGGACATGTTTGCCTATCTGCTATCAAAGCTTTGTTTCTGTTGAGCATATTTGCATCTCTTTTTCGTCATTGATCTGCCAAAACATGTCGGGACACTTTAGAGCTATAACTCTGTCATTTGCTATGACTTGCTCAAACCACCAGCATACAGGCCTCTGTGGTAACTTGTACCTTGCAAACTTATCACACAAGTGGGAACTGTTAATTCCTTCCAGGTTGTCATTATGAGCATTACAATATGCTACCGCAATGCAGCCGTAACGTAATCATCCTACACAGAAGCTGGTACGGAAATTCCTATAATTTAAGGTTAAACTGAACTTAGACGTGTGGGTAGTTTCCTCCCACACATCCCAGTTCTAACTGGATATCTCTGCCTCTAAGTTCAAGGTGAGGTCAAGTGGGTCTGCTCAGGTTTCTCGGGTTCATTCAAGTGTGAATTTAAAGTCGAACCTGTACTGTGCCAGTTGCCGTGCAACATCCGTCTTCACCCATAAGGGCTTTATATTTTAGTTTTTCTTGAAAGTATGTGTCATCTGAAGCTGTAATTCAACATTAGCTTTGAGTTCATTACACTATCAGTGTCAGCTTTGTCATTTACCACCCAGCAGTGTGACCTATGAAGGCACCCTCATTTGCTGCGTCTGGAACTGCTGTGTAATCCCAAGCTATGAATATCAAATGGCACCCAAAGTGACAGCCCTCATAAAGTATGTGGTGCGATGCAATCAGCGCAGCGGTGCATGCACTACTTGTGTATCTCTTGTCAGAGTCCTAATGGTTTACCATGCATCTAATTGTTTGCTGTTAAAAAACACCGCAAAGTTCTGGTTAACCACATTTCAGCCAGTACAGTAAGTCAAAGTGGTGATGTCTGTGAGGCTAAGCCAGCACAATTCAAGTTGCCATTAATGGAGTCATATTCCTGCAGTATTCTTTCCAAAATAAACACAGCAGAAGAATCATTGTTCTATGAGGTAGAGCTTTAAAGAAAAAATATGCTATCGTTTAGGCTGAGGGGCTAGTGTACAGCCGTCTTTAATACCCTTTAGTACCCTGATAAAAATTGCTGTTTTCCTCAATAGGAAGCAATGTAAAAAGCCATAAAAGTGCAAGTTAGGTACTGTTTACAAGGTTGTGTCAGTGACAGAAAACTTCCAGGAATTGCTGGGAGTTTATGTGGATTTTGATGTACTAGCAGTTGACTCACAACCCCGAGGCTTACAGGGGCCTTAAATGTAAGTGATAATGCTGTTAGCTGCAGAAATGCAAAGCAGGATACCAAGAGCTTTCAATAAGTTCTGCCACAGCAGGACACAGACTTCACATCTACTAACTGCTGGGAATCATTGAGGCTTTGCCATTTTGGCTGTATTGCATAAGCTACAGTGTTTAGACATTCTCCAAGTCAATTCACACTGGCATTAGTTGCAGCATGTGTATCTGCACCTTAACAATCAAAGAACTCTAACAATAAATATGCCTTTAACTAATTTGGAAACTAAATTAGACTCATAAAAGTCATTCTCATGAATAAATGAAATATTTATTTCTTTTTCGTCCAAATAAATCTTTTGCTTTCAATTCCAATGTGTTCCAGTGATAACGCATAATAGAAACTGTTAGCTCTTTCTTCACAGTAGAATGAAAATTAAAAGTAACCATAGTGAGCAACATGGAATCTCTTTTCCTCCCTTCCTCCTACAGTGCATAAAACTATAGTGGCAGGATGTTGCCTGAGTGCTGGTGATTGTGGCCTGAGACAAATACAGGTGTTTCCCTGCCTAACTGTACTGTCTTCCTGCACAGCTGTGGCCTTGGGTCACCCTTTCTGAAATAGCCAGTGTATGTACAGCATGTTTATTCGCCTGCAAGATTAGAAATGAGGACAGTGTGTGACAGGTTCAGGTTTATTGGAAACATCTGCATTGTGTATTTACAGATGTGTAGTATAGCTATGCTGCACTGAACATGTAATTATGATTTTGTTCCCTTTTCCTTTACCTTTCTTCTTTCGTGCCCTTGCACTTCTTGCCTCAGCCATTCTTTCATCCTTGCAATACAGTATAACAGTGGCTCACAAAATATTTTTTGGCCCCATATAATGAAATTGCTCTGATTTTTGGATTCCTCATCACATGCTGAGAAGGTGGGAGAGGTTTTGACCCATTAATGCACATGTGAAAGTAACCTTTAAGTATTGTTTTATCAATAATAAATAAAATATGCATAATTGGTCAGGTTTACCACTCGTAATTCATCCAAATGAATTTGTTTTGTACATAGCATTTTAATTTAAGCTGACAACGACACTATGTTTAATAAAAGTAATGGGTTAAAAAGTGAACTAATGTATTGTATTATATTATAATAAGACTTTTTCAAACACACCACAAACTTGCCACAGTTGATGCCATGGTTCATGCCCTAACACATATTGACTGCTCTATGATGTTGAGCTGTTGTGTCAGATAAGCTCATTTTTTAAGCATGTGGCCACTATGTACGGTGTACTGGGTACACCGCCTGTTTTCTTTCCTGTGCAGCAGTAGCACTGGGGCTGTGTTGTATTGGGTGAAGTTGGAAATTCCATGGTCAAAGCAACAAGGATTGTTGTCTATTAAATGCTTGAGGCATGTTGGAATTGTTTGGCCTACACATAGCTCAGGTATTTGCTTTGCTCCGGTTTTCTCCAAGAGTCTCAATAACCATTAACCAACCTATGAATTGCATTCCTGAGACCTTATTCGCCAGATGTTTACACTATGCTCCAGTTGGGTGTTCATGTGTTATGTGGGAACCAATACATTGTGGTATCAGTCTGTCAAATCTACAAACTGAGAGATAAGCCTCTTTCTCCCTTTGAATAATATACACAATGTCTTAGACATGCAGGTTGGGGTATCCTATCTTAATAGGATGTGGCTTGTTTTTTGTTTTTTTTGGTTTGGTTGGTTGGTTTTTTTGCTTCCTCCCGCATTGGTGACGTAAGTTAGCATAAGTTGCATTCGGCCAAGGTTATCAGAACAAATAAAGGCAAAGCAGGTACATGATGTAGGGTTTAGGTGTGAAGACGTTGCTGCATACCAACCTGAGGAACAACACTGAACTTTGATAGCTGGGCTAAACAAAGGACTTGATTTTAATCCCAAAGTCTGTTTTAATACATTGTAAATATCGATAAGACTTCAGATTTATCTAGATAGTAAAGTGAAATATAATTTTAAAAGGCTTAGATGAAAATCCCACTTCCAGACAAGTGTGTTGGCCCATTCCTTTTACCCATCAGTGTCACTATATCAAATTTCCTGACAAGCTACAGCCAGATTTCCTTGTTGATGTTTTCTGCTTTTGTTATTTAAGGCTAATTTTTTCAACCTTTTTTTATTCGTAGATGTGATATTATCCAGGATTAGAATGTTTTTCTCTATTACTGTGGACTGATTAAAGAAGTATTGTCTTTTGGGTTGAAAAACCACAGACCAACACTCCTTTAACCCACAAAAATCAGTCTGCAGTTTAACCATCAAAGGAGGAGTTCTACTTTTTTGTGTCTGTGATTTTTATGTGGATAATCTTTCTCTGGGTTTCTTTGCGATTAAACTGTCTGCAATTATAGGAGTATTATGTGTCACTTATTTTTCCCTGAAGACTAGAATTTAACTTTAAATAATTCACCAAGACAGAAACTTGGCAGTCAGAGTTTCCCTAATGAAACACATGAATCGCAGAATGTTCCTAACATGTTATCTTTCATATAAATAATAGAGTGATACATCATTCTTTATCCTGAAATCAGATTTAAATGTCTGGTGATGTTATCTTCTTATTTGTGGCCGTCTGCATTGCTGGTGCCTATCATTTAATGACTGGATATTAGGTCCTGAATATTACCGGTGGTTCATTAAGGATGTAAAAAATGAATATCTTCGGCCCATCAGAGGTCAATTTTTGAACAGGTTTTACGATCCATGCAAAAACTTAATGAGGGCCTTGAGGTTAAATAGCTCAGAACCGAACCATTAAGTGATCATCTCTGATGAGTAGGACGATGAGAAACAGTAATAGAATCAAGCCAGGAAGCACAAAATGACTGAATGTAGTTTTCTGCTCATTGACCTAATGGAAAGCCATCAAATAAGGATGCATTCATAAAAACATACAACTTAGAATAGGAAAACAACTTTTAAAGTATTATAGAGAGAGAGACTTATTTTACTTCAGACGGGAAGTATGTTGAAATATGGCTGTCTAAATTTCCTTTTGGGATTATTTATCTAACTACATTTTTTTTAACCCTTTTGTTGAACTGCTGTCTAGAAAGGAGCATTTCTAATCCCCAAATGCACGTGTCTAGAATTGAATTTGTGAACATAACTACTACTATCACTAAAAATGTATTCCAATTCAATTTATAAAGCACCAAAACACAACACCAAGTTAAAGACTTACAATAATACAGAGAAAACAGAGAAAACTTCAAAAATCAGATGTCGCACTTTAGTGACTGTGGGAAGGAAAAACTCCATATTTACAGGAAGAAACCTGCGGCAGAACCAGGCTCAGTGGGGGTCAGCCATCTGCCCCAACTGGTTGGAGGTGAGGGGAAGGAAACACGACCAGCAATCCAAACCCGCCTTAATGCAATGAAACATGAAGGGTTATATTTTAATGTCACAGAGTGTAAACATTGTAGAGCATTAACTTAAGAAAGCATTTCCAAGTTTTCATGCATAGCCAAAGTTGTAACTTTTGTTTTTCTGTCTTCTGCATAGGACAAAAGATGCAGAGCCTGTGGTAGGAAAGGAGATCCAAGTTACTGTCTGCAATGAAGAGAAGGTTGTCTGTGGAGTAACAAAGCATACGACATGTGCAGATATGATTCAGGCATTACTGGATGATCACAAGTCAGTCCCAGAGAGCAAGCGGCTACTGGATGGAGAACCCAAAGACTTCTGTCTCGTTGAACGGTGGAAGGGTTTCGAGAGAGCTTTGCCACCTCTTACCAGAATACTGAGACTCTGGTATGCTTGGGGTGATCAGAGGCCCTTCATACAGTTTATTCTAGTTAAAACCAGTGATTTCGTGCCTCAGCCTGCTAAGAAAGGTGGAAAGTCCAAAGGGGCCAAGCTGAAGCGATGTGAGCACGGTCGTGCTCAGTATTCCCAGTCTCTGCCAGCGGAAAAGCAAAAGCGCATGGTAAAAAAAGCTTTCCGAAAACTGGAGAAACTTCATATGGAGAGCAAAAGCTCCCTAGGTGCAGAGGAGATCGACCAGATGGTGCAACTTATTCTCAACCAGGACCACACAATTAGAGAGCAGATCCAGCGGATAAGGGAGCTAGATTCAGAGATTGAGCGGATTGAGCTGCAAGTCCAGCAAGAAACCAAGTCGGAGACTTCCTTGGCTCAGGCCTGCAGTCCAAATTCCGAGGCACACATTGAGGAGCAGCTGCAAGAATACTTGTACACCAGCGATGGGGTTGTACAACTGGACATGGAGGTTCAGAGGCACCAGGAACTCATCCTCCAGTTGTCCCATGAAATTGACGCTGAGCTTAGGAAGGCCAGCCTCGCTCTTGCTCAAGATGAAGACCAGGAAGGAATGGCCACTGGTTCCTGGATCCCCGCTGACACAGACGAAGCATTTTATACTGCTGAAATCGAGAGGCTGCGGGGCGAACTGAATCACAGCCTCTTCACCGGTGTTTCCATTCACAACCAAGCTGCTGAAATAGACAAGCAGATAAAGTACTTTGACAATACACTGGTTTCTAAGGATCAAGAGTGCTGGCAGCTAGCCGCCCAGCTGAGCTCATTGCAAATCACGGACAGCACAGAGGAGGAGCAGCCCATAACAGTCCAAGGGAAAAGTGAGACCCAGTGCGGCATTTCTCAGACAGTGAAACTCAAACACACCCTGTCCCCTCTAGACATTACAGACACAGACTCAGACACTGGGATTAGCTCCACACACAGTCAGGACTCTCTGTCACCGTGTCTCGATTTCCCTCCCCCGCTGGACACAGACGTTTGAAGAACCCGGTTCACTCAGCAATGTGTTCTTCTTCAGTCACCAGCTGCAGTTTTTTACTCCTCACATGTGCTCTTTGTTTCATGCTCTGTGCTTGCAAAATTAGCAAAAAGACACATTTTCTGCAATTTTTAGTGTCTCCGGAACTTTGTTGCATCGTCATCACACCATGCCAAAAAGAAGAATGTAAGAAATGTCAACTTGGGTTCCAACAAATTAATACAACAGTACTGTGGTTGATTCTTAAGCGTGTTCACAGAAAATTGGTCAAAAATGTTTTTGCAAAGAGTTTGCAAGATGCAAAACATATCCTTGTTTAATATGAATAATTTTCTCAGGTATCAAAGTAACAGATGGTTAGGTATCAGTGTAACATGAAATAATACATGCAAGACACTAACTGAGGCTGTGCGTGCGCTACTTATAATCCTACATTATTGATAGAAGGTTTTCCCATTTTTAATTGCCAACAGAGATGCAAAGACCAATTTTTAGATGTTTAGATTTGTCACTTTAGATGATAGTAAATAAGCTTTTTGCTTTTTGTAAAGTCCTCAAGCTATTTATTAAGTTGCACTTCTTACACACTTAAGGCTATTAACAATGTTTTATATTAAAACAAAAAGATAATAGTTTTGATGTAGTATTTGTAAAAGAAAAATATACTTTAAACACTGTTCTTGACTATTCTGTAAATACAAACCTAGTTCGCCCGATTTCAAATGGTAATTGCCCCTTCTTGATATATCATTATTTAACTGTGATTAGATGACATCTTTCCGTCTAGAAAGGGCTACAAAGTCATTTCTAAGGCTTTCATGATTCAACACTAAGAAAGAGAATAGATAAAAATGGCATCCATTGCAGAGTTCCAAGGTGAAAATCACTGCTGACCAAAAAGAACCCAAAACCTTGTGTCACATCTAACAAAAACAACTTGATTCCCGAATATTCTGTGGATTGATTAGACAAAAGCAGAACTTTCTGAAAGGTTTGCATCCTGTTACACCTGACGTAAAAGGTAGCACAGCATTTCATAAGGAAAACATCATACCAACAGTCAAACGCAGTGGTGGTAGTGTGATGGTCTAGGGCTGCTTTCCTGCATCAAGGCTTTGGCAACTCTTTACCAAACAGACTCTATCCTGGCAGACGGCATCATCTGGAACTCAAGTGCACTGAGGTTATGCAGCAGGACAATGATCCAAAGTACGCCACTGAATGGCTTAAATACACACAATGAGCAATGAGCTCACAAGGAGTCCAAACTGAAATCTAATTGAGATGTTTTGGCATAACATCTCAATTAGTTCATGCTCAAAAATATTCCAGTGGGGCTTAATTAAAACAATTCTGCAAAGAAGAGTAGAACAAAGTTCCTCCACAGTGATGTGAAGGACTCATTGCCAGTTATTGCTAATGTGTAATTGCAGTCCATGCTGCTAAGATTGGCACAACCTGTTATTGGGTTTAGGGGCTTCGTTTTTGACACAAGACCTTGTTGCATTTAGTTATTTTACCTTAATAGATAAAATCATCATTTAAAAAGTGGATTTTGTATTTACCCGGGTTATCTTTGTCTAATGTTTAAAACAGTGTGACAAATATGCAGAAATATAAGATATCAGGAAGGAGGCAAATATTTTTTCGCAGCACCTTATGCTTCTGCAAGTAATATAAGTAATTACTGAGAAAGGCACAATTGTAAAAGAAAAGCTTATTTATTTACTGTAGTTACCAAACTACCAGTTACCAGAATTTTGGGACATTGTGTAAAATTCAAGTAAAAATAAAATGCAATGGGTTCATGAGATCTGCAAATCTTGTAAACCCATTTTGCTCGTAAACATTTCAAACATTTTAATATTTCATGAAAATATTATCTCATTTTGGATTTGGTGACAGCAGCATGTCTCAGAAAAGTTGGTGAAGGGCAAACGAAATTCAAGTTACAACAATTTCTGGTACATAAATAGCTGGTGGGACATTTTTCAGATAATTTGGCAACAGGTCAGTAAAATGACACAGTCTGAAAACATGTGAAGCCAAAAATATGACAAAGAAGACAAAGAATCTTATATCAAATAAGAATGGGAAAACATTCCTCTCCCACGAGTCCAGCAACAGTTCTCCTGAGTTCCCACATGTTTACAGACTTAGGGGAAGCTACACAGCATAAACGTGGCTCTCTTCCAACTTTTTTGTCATGCAGAGATGTGTTGCTGTAGTCAATTTCAAAATGAGCTAATATCTTTTTCTTAAAAAGCCACATTTTTCTCAGTTTAAGCATTGAACGTGTATCCTCTTGTTAATTAAATATGGGTTTATGAGATTTGCTTATCACTGCATTGTTTTTGTTTGCAATTTTCACAACGTTCCAGCTTATTTGGAAATGGGTTTGTATTTTTCAGATGTAATTTTGTGACAAATCACTATTCGCTACCTGCCTAATCAAACACTAGATTCACTATCCACCAAATTCAATTCGCACGCCCTGTGTTTTAACCACTTAAAACGTAAGCTATTATAAAGAATAATGTACATCTTGACTTTCATAATAAAAGCTAATACTTTAAATAACTAAAAACACTGTCGTCGGGTTTTTCGGCACCATTTGTTTAGGATTTGATTGTCTTATAAATAAAGCCTAGCAACAGCGCTGACTAAGGAAGGGTATCTTCTTATGCAAATCATAGGATTTGAAATCATAGGGCTGCTTGCCACATTTCCAACAGTTTCACATCTAGTTAGGGTCTTTAAACACTTACAAATTGGTTTTGATCAAACACAAATCTACGCCTGGAGACTGGCGTAGTTTTGTGTCCTTTTTGGGAAGAATACATCTTCCAATGTTTTTTATCATTATTATTATTATTTTAGTTGCCATTTGTATAGGCACAAAATCTTGGGTTATTAGAAATGCAAAAAAAAAATAGTTAAGCACTGGGCTGCTTCTAGAAAATCTTTATTCTAAGGTTAAAAGGGGGAAAAAACTAGTGTGTCATACCCATTGAATTGAATTAAGCTCTCAGTCACCATAGAGATATGACACAGTTACCTCAGAGTCCTCAGGCACCATATAATCAGACGAGATGGTCACCAGGCTAGCACAAACAACAGCGAGCACTCTCCTCATGTCTAGGTACTGCTGACAGATGAACACTTTGTGCTCAGGGCAGAGCTGGGCTGGAAAAAAGCAGAGGATATCTATTTCACACACTAATTGACTCACCCACCCTGCCCTCTGTCTTTGCTCCTTCAAGCTACCAAGTAACCAAGCATGAAAGGCCTGAGAGCTTACAGTTCGAAGCAATCTTGCACTGGCATCCCCAACCTGTTGATGAAATGGAGGTTTATGGGGTTATGGACCAGGCTTTCTATAGCTCCTTTCTACTCCTTTCTGAGAACTCAAGCACTTTCTTCTACTAAGTGTCAATCACATTATCATACATGCACATAGTGGTTTTATCTATACAAAAGCACTTTTATCTAACTCACTCACACTCCGATGGATACATCAGGGAAAACTTGGGGTTTAGTATCTTGCCCATCTTGCTCTTTGAGACATGGGGAACACAGAAATATCTGGGGATTGATCTGACCAGACAGTCTGCTATCCAACTACTAACCAGGCGCTAACATTTTCCAAAATCCGACAAGATCGGATTAGTTTTATTCAACTTTTAAGAAATATACTTTTGGCACAGGAAATGATCAAATAAAGAGCCACAGACCAAATAGTTTTCATTGTGTCATAATAAAGTTTGATTTCCCTCTGATCTATAGAGAGAGCCCAAGCTGTTTTTTGATACTGCATTTTGTAAGTGACCCCACTGATTGTGGCCACAGCAGATTCACTCACTATGAGTCACAGCATAGATAGAAGAGCTAGATTGCTTAGCTGTCAGCCGCTGAGGCAGATAAAAGACAGACTGTGGCTACAGCCATGGTTGTACTTTGGTTCTTATGATTACGCATATGACACATTAGCTTATAATGAGTGTTGCACTACGTGCAGAGGTTTTATGACGTATGGAGTGAAAAGCATGATTGTGCTAACTAGGCATTGTATTAAACTACTGTGTTCTTTAACGGCTTAGGTGGATTGGTAGCAAATCTTTCACATGTAATGAGAATAACTTTTGTGGCTAACATGCAGGTTAATGCCAACAGGACCACTGAAGGACAGTCACAGCACAACACACACTGAACCGAAGTTACATGTGCTTGAATGATATTGATGTGGATTGTGCTTTGATCAGAGCCACCAGTGCACATTTAAAATGCCACAAAGGCTGGTGCAACCGTAAGTGAAAATATCACGAGGGCCCCCTCACTGAAAAAAAGCATGCAAAAATAAGAACAGGTTAAAACCAAAGTCAGAAAAATCAGCCGTGTCTATGTTGAAAGATCAAATTAAAAATGATAATAATGGTTTACAAGTGCAATGCCGGAGGGTGAAATTTCACTGCATGAGTCATCAGTGCTCTTAATACCTCAGGGGGAGCAACAGAATCAAACTCCTTTGTTTACAAGCATCAATAAATTGAAGACTTTGAGCATGTGAAGCAATAACTTCCTGAAAAAGTCATGGACACACGAGGAGAATGTGGGTGTTTCTGACAGCAAGTCTGAATTTGGATGAGCCAAATTTTCAAAAATAAAATCTGTTCACATCAAGAGCACAGTGTCGTGCCTCAGACACCACATGATCAACGTAAGCCAGAAAACAGGTTCTCAGATACTAGCAGGAGAATGTGGGGTTCAGAATCAAGGGCTTCAAGTACCTCTGGAACAGCCACATGTGTTGAAGCAGAAGCTTATATGGCTGCTCTTCTTGCTCCAAGACTGTTTATAGCCAAATATCATTTAGTCCCACAATAACAGGAAATAGGAAAAAGAAATGAGCGATTCAAGTGTTGACAACAGCCTCACTTACTCTTATAAACCCCCTTCTCAAGTCAATAAGAGCCTCAAGAAGCCATGTGCAAAGCAGCGTGTTCAATAGATGTAATTATAAGGTATCCTATTTCAACAATATAGAGAGCGAGGATCTAACGGCCTTGCTGCTGTTCATTCTTATGGTTGAGGAGAATGTTGAAGTCCAAACTGTCTGTGAGTCTCATATGAGAGGGTCTATGTTCCTGGCAGGGCTCTGCTGGGCTGTTTGTGATTGAATGAATTTAGGAGGCATTAAAACACAAAGCTGGATGTTGAGATCTCAGTTTGGTACTGGCTGGCATTGGAAGTAATAATCATTTAAAGTCTCAATCATGAAATTATGGCCAGAATATTCAAGTTCTTTGTAATTGAAGCGTTTTGTTGTTTCGTTTTTTTAAACCTTCCGTCAATTTTTAAGAATAAAACACGTTTGGTTTGCTTAGAAATGCAATGTGCAATTTATTGTGCTTTTTTTTTTTTTGGGGGGGGGGGGGGGGGGGTCATACCGATGTTGTTAAAGTCTCAAAAACTCAAAAAAAAAACTTGTGTATGAAATATGATGCACTAGGCATTAAGGGGAAAATGTACGATCTGTGATAACCAACCAAAATTAAATAACTGCTATGCTAATAGATTTCAGAAAGCTCATAAGTGAGCAGTAGGCCACGACACAGAAGAGCTGCAGCGGTGGTTATAGCAAGTGGCTGCATACTTTAACATCTCCATTTGAAATAATTTAGCACATCAAGCGTTACACACTTTGCACTGTATGATGAACTGAAATGTAAAAGTTCTGGATTAGGTCGAATAAAACAAAAATACTAAGAGGAAGCCAAAAGAAAGTAGATCCAAAATAAAAAATTTCCATTGCAACCCCTGCAGGGGTCTATTGAAAATGGCAAATAGAGGTCTTAAAATACAAACTCACCTCTTTCTGCAGTTAAACGTGTTCAGGCACCTACTGTGCTCAAATGGCAGTAAATATTAAAATGAACAGAGATTTTGGCTCTGGTTCTTTAGGGTGTTAAGGAGCTGCTTGTTCTTTCGCAAACTATTTGCTGCCAAGGCAGCTGACACACCAAAAGACATTTAACAAAGATTGGGTATACATTTCCAATCATGGGCAGGCTGAAAAGCCTTAGAAATAGTACTTAAGCTGAAAGGGGTAAAAGAAAACTCCATTTACTGTCAAGGTGCCTTGAAAATATGCAATGTTTTAAATACTTCCCACAGAAATACTTTTTTTTGTTTGAAGGACGCTGCAGGTAACATTTACCTCTTCTCTCTGCTGCAGATCAGCAATTCAAAGACTTACCAGCTCACAAGTGTGTTTGCTGACAACAATAATTACATCTACCAAAATGACAATTAGAGACACTGCAAACCTGTCTTTGTTCAGTCCATCCAGTTACTACAACTGGGCAGTTTGAGTAAACCATAATCTGGCATCAGCTGCCTGTGCTGAAGATGAGAGCTGATTTTTTAATGTATATTTTTGTGTGTAGTATATCTTTACCCAGAAACATAGTATCTCAAATTACAGACAAACAAAAACATGCTTGTCAAAAAGATCAAAGAGGGATTTTCTAAATGTATTAAATCTATTACATCTATCTGATGTTTTTATCTCAGCCTTGAGAAAACCAGATCTTTTAAACTCAGAAAAAAGTGAATTAATAGTGAGGAAAACAATGTGCACACCGTCGTATGCAAAGTGTGCTGCAGCTATGGTTTGTTAAGCAGCGTTCAAAACCTGGGAGTATCAAGATGAACTGATAATTGTCATTTCAAGTTTGCGAATGGTTGACTGAGTGAGCTCAGAAAGCAGCTTCCAACCCACAATTCTTGTGTCTTGGAGCAAACCTAACAACATGAAGAGCTGGTTTAAATAATTACTTAACTGTCACACTCCTGTCCTGTGAAAACAGGTTTTAAAGGCACAACCCTCTGCTTTTAAGATCATGTTCAGAGTGAAAAATACTTAATTAGGCTTTTTCCAGATGGCTCGGGTAACTGCAAAGTGCCGGTTACCATAGCTATAACTAATGGCTCATGCTACTGAGGGACTTCTTGTGATGCATCAAACATTTCTGCTTCACCCCCACTTTTTGTCATTAAATATTATTTAATTTCTCTCTCTCTTCCGTCCAATAATTTGCACAGTTTGTAGTGCATTTTCTCTCTTTTCTGACCTTGTCCCCAACTACTCTAGAGGGTTTTTTCCTGTTAAGCTGACGTTTTTTGTCCCCACCGTCTTCAAGTGCCTTCTCATGGGGGAACACTTGATTCCTTGAGGTTGTAGGTTCTTTACAATAGAAAACACCCAGATAGGACTGCTATTTGAATTGAAGCTTTTGTTTGATCTCAAAGGCACAGTAAATTGCCAGCAAGGACACTGACATGATTCCTTTTCACTGGAATAATACTGTAAAATTCTTACAGACGCCATTACTACTCCGAGTTTGTGGCAGATGAGGTGAGACAGAAAAATCCAGCTGACTACCGTGCCTAATTGTTGAGTGAAATGAACAAATTCTAAATCATCACTGTAAGTTCAGTGGCTTGTAATGCGGGGAAATGATTGAAGAAGCGTGCAAAACACATTCAGTTTTTGTTTCCACGTGTTTGTGTGCAGAAACATTACCACAGTACACCCAGCAGTAAATGTAGTTTTATTATACTAAAATCAAAGTATCTGTGTCTGTTTGTGTAACTACCCTCTCGCTATACATACTGAATTCAGACTGGGGAAGTTTATTTTATGAGTATGACCTGGAATTAAAGCAAAACACATCAGGATTGTTTCTTGCATCAAATGCTGTTTATGTGGCATTCCAACAGTCCCAGCAGCCAGCCCCAGTCAGTCACATCTGAGTTCACCTTGGACAAATTGGGACCTGTCAAAGTAGTTTAAATGCCTTGGGCTTAATTGCCTCAATCAAAGCACTTTTGTAGTGCCACCCATCCAAAAGCCATGAAGCCAAGTCATGAGTCACCCTATAAAAAAGCCCAAAGTGCAATAAACTATGACTGCTGCCAGATAAAAGCAAGAGTGCAAACAGGGAACTGCGCGAGTGAGTGTGTGTGCACGGTGTGTTAAAGATAAAATTTCAGAAATGTGATCTGGGTCGTGCGGTTGTTTACTGAAGAAAATTTTTAATTTGTTCCCCAACATTAATGTTTCTTTGCAAATCCTTTGAATCCTCCCACCACCACTTCTCTCCTTGTAGCTCCTGTAAACACATTTTCTTTTGGCATGGATGTTAATTTTCCTCTTTATTAGAGTTGCTGCCCTGGCCTTTCGACAGGTGTTCTCTGATGCTGCTCGCTCCCCCCGCAGACGTTTATTACAAGACTGCCACTCAGACAGTCAAAGGCACAGACAGAAAACATGGTTCCAGTTGGTTCAAACAGAGGAAGAAATGGAGAAACGAAAAGTTGGATTTTGCTCTGTGGCTGAGCTGCTCTAGAAGCAGAAATAATCCAAGTGGGAGAATGAAAGCTCAGTGGGCACAATCAAACAAAATCACATTCTTCTGGCAAAGTAACATTAGACTGGAGGTCCAGTTCAGTCAGGTCAGAGATGTAAGAGCCACCTTTAGTATAAAGCCCTTCAGATAAAAGCCAAAAAGCACATTTTAAAGCTGCATTAAGGTAGAATTCCTAAGGATTTAATCCTAAACCGGTTAGTACTCACATTCTTGTGAGTCAGCAGGTATACAATTATTGTCTGATTTATTTAAACTGTGTGTTGATCTTAATTCAGGGTAACCTTTCACAGTTGTACAATATCATCTTTCAAAGAAGTGGGCTCCACAACAGTTATTATTTATATTAATATCAGGCCATTTACCTGGCTGAATGAATCAGAATCTAGTCTAATCTAGTGCTCTTAAAGCATCTGGCATAGGATCAATTAGTTCCATATTTTCATATAATTTCCAGATTTATTTAATCATATTTGTATTTCTTGGGCGAGCATTTCTGAGCGACATCGGTTGTCTCACAGAAAAATTGCATATTTAGCTCAGATTAAAAGATCAGCAGCATGACGATGACCAGAATGTCAGTGTCAAAATTATTCTAAAAAAGCACATTTTGAACCAAAAGCACTGGTAAGAGGTCCTGAACAATAATTTCCTTGGGAAGTTGGGTGAATAATAGGAATTTGTGAAGAAAGAATGTGATAACACCTAAAGCCATGCACCTGTGACGAAACAACGGTTTGTTGAACAAAACGACTTACGTGCATGAGGACCTAGTAGCAGGTGCGGACATGTTTTAGGTGTGAGTTATCCTTCAAGAGTGACAGATGGTTCAACCAGTCACCTGCCAAGGATTTGCATGCTCTGTTGCAAACGGCTTCTAAAGAATATTTCTCAGATTAGTCTATAACAAAAGACCCAGAACAACAGGTTTGGTTGCCATTATTATTATAACGCAATATGAAAACTTTTTACATTTTTTTAAATTATACCTAATTTGGTCCCATCAAGGCTGTCTCCTTGTACCTCTGAGGAACACATCCTGCATAGTGTGTCACGAGTTATGGAATGTGGCCCCAATATAATATAAATATAAGCAGAAGACACAATGGGGATGATAACGGGAACACGATGGAAGGATAACAGACGTTATGACAAAGGCCAAGGGGAGAACTGAGTCTGTAAATACACACAGGGTGATTAGGACAAAGGGCAATAGATGGCTAAACAAGCCGGTGCAACAGCTTAAGATAAATAAGATACAGGAAGTAAAACTAAAACATGATGCCAGAGTCTGAAACAAGGAGCAGTTTGGAGGATTGGCCTGTGGCAGGGACTAAGCAGTTCACGGAGCCAACCAGAAGGCCAGCACAGGGGGCAAAACAGTTCAGAGGGTCGACAGGAGGCCAGCAAGGGAGACCCTCTGGTAGCTTACCTTGAGGCCAGCAGAGGTGATGGGCCACCTCAGGAGGCTTGGCCGGAGGCCAGTGGTGGGAGTAGAGATGGGACTCCTTATTTCACTCCTACACAGCAGTCATTAGGATTCTTGTGTTTAATGAATGGCCAGGGTCAGCTCATATAGGTCAGGTCATCATAGTCTAAGGAGCTTGGAAAGAAAAGCCATCTATGTCCACTGTGAATGACCAGAGGTGGAGGAACAGAGGTGGTGGCTTACGACACCAACTGTCTGCCCTCTGTAATCCAGTGTTGAGATCCCAGATGCCTTAACGCCCACTCACATCCACTCACTAAATCACATGATAAGGTGGGGCTAGGTTTCACAATGGATTCACCTGAAACCTTGGCTGATTGTGACCCAAACCTGTTTTCATACCTTGGCTCGTGTGATTAGGTAGAGGATCAACAGGGGGTCCATGACCCTCTTGGGCGCACTCCCATAAGGCTTAAAATCTGAGAT